TTTCTTGCAGAGACATAATACTTTATTGGTTGAAGAGGGACTTGCCGTTGACGTGCTTTGAATAGGTGTTTTTACGTGAGGACGACGTTTGTATTAGATTCTTTATAATATTACGTGAAACTATAAATCAAAAGTTTGTTTTTAATTCAAACTTGTAATTCAAAAATAAACTGCTAGACGAAGTTACTCGTATTTATTGGTATTTAGTGTGAGTAAAAAGATAGTCAAGATAAAAATTTTTTCAAGTGCGCAGTATATAACGTCTATCTCGATAAAGATCGCGTGTGAATTTCATAAGGGAACAATATGACATATGCTAACGATCATAGTTACTAATTTTTTCCCACCTATATGTGAAATTGCCTCCCGACACTTTTAATTAATGCGAATAACAGGATGGTGTGGATAACCAGAACAGTAAAAAAATATGATCTTGATAACTACCGTATTCTCACAGAAATAAAGCACACCATTTGACTTACAACAATGCAGCATGATGTAAATATCAATAGATAGTCACATCGCAGATCACGTATAATGCAATGATTTTCTTACATGGTGTACGAATAACAAATTTGATAAATTGTAGTTCTGACAATGTTGAAATTATTTCATTATAAATGTTCATGAAGCACACTTCTTCACTCAATTTGGTAAGCTTATATGTATGATTAATAATGTATCAATTTGCGAAATCCGGTAATTTTACAATAGAAATTTATGTGTAACTAAAAAATTTTTCAATTGCCCTGTGCTCTTGATTCATCAATTACCTTTTTGAGGACATGTATTTATGAAGCGTAATTAAACGTGATTTTCATAAAAATTATCGCGGCTTGGCTTTCTGATTTAAGTCAAGAGAACCAATTATCTCATACAGCGTAGTAATACTCGTAGGAATTTATATAATAAGGGCTTCTCGGAGATAATAGGCTATACGTCAATATCCGAATATTCCGTTTACGTACCAAAAGAAGGATAGTTATTATAATATAATAGTACGACATAGCAAAAAATATATAAATGTATGAATAAGAAGCAAAGGTTCATATATTAAAAGTACTGATTCTTATCTCTCACACGTACAAAGCATACAAATGCCGAAACACCGTCAAAATAGAAATCATAATTCTGCTTTATTAGATGCTAATGAAACTTTGATATTTCAAGCAATTAATGTGCCCTCGCCATATGACATCAATAATGAGGGAATTCTAAAGAAATATAGCCAAATTGAAAATACAAAAAAGCCTCCAAATAGATTTTTATTATACCGAGTAGTTATTACCCATATATTAATCGACAATAATATTCGTCTTTCTGCGAAAAGTATTTCGCAAATTGCATCAAAAAAATGGGAGACTGAAACTAACTCAATTAAAGAAGAATATAATCGATTTGCTGAAGACATTAAGAATGCATTTTTTACAAACACGGTCTCTCCTTCCAAAAAGAAATCTAAAAAACAATTCAAATTTCGGTATGATAAACTTTGTTCGTCATCTGCTAAGAAATATTGTGAATTAGTGACTACACGATTGGATCATAATACTTCCACACCAAATCCTTCAGATATTGATTCAATAACTTCTCCTTTAGTGAATGGAAATTCCACAATTTCTGAAACATCGTCATTGTCCAATAATACAAAACTTGTAGAGTATGACGAAGATAACGTTATTTTTGCAAACATTGGTCATGAAGCTTTGTTTTGTGAACCTGTACAGAGTTATGAAGCTTCCATTTCTATGAATGATCCTGGATATTTTCCATTAAGTATCGAGGATAATTTAGATTTTCATGACAGTGCAGAATATTTTTCGAATAATGACTAAATACATTATATATCGAATTATAGAACAATAATTGTTTTTCAGATTCCTGCTGATCAAAGTGATAGTGATTAAGTGATAGCATAAACCATTAATTTCTTTCCTTCATTAAGATTAAATTCATTCTTTTTCTACCTATAATTATAGTCTCGTCAACCAAGTATGATGTACATGTTTAATCTAAGAAATCAACCTAATACTAATACATGCACAATATGACATACATATATTATAAGCATTACAATGCATGTACGTGTACACTGTATGATTACTGTAAATTTTTATTCATAAACGGATTCATTTTGTTACCTCCTTTAATAATATCGGCGTCTAGTCTTTATCCCTAGCTGGTATTATGTAAACTTGGCGAATTTATTTCATTATGAAATCATTCATATGCTATCACAAATACGTTTTTCATTGAAAATGTAAGTCATTATGTTTATATATTTTGAACCCTCTGTTTTTTAAATACAGTCTGATGTACATGTACATGTATAAGTAAAAATATGAATACATGTAATACGAACGCACATCTTGTTCAAGCGGCGGATGTGATTGGTAAATTAATGAATTGGCAACAAATTCTGCATGCAGCGAACTAAACTCGGCTTCAAAATAGTGTTATCAATCGATAATTATTTAGTGCATGTAGTTGAGTTAACTGTTTTTTAATTGATAACTACATGTACATGGAATATGTAATTGCTTTGATAATTACCAAAGATTATTTATAGTTTAAATATATATATAATGTTAAATTCAAATTTATAAATTTACTCACTTCGATTTTTCTTCAATATCTAAATTTGAATGATATTGCAATAAAAATAAGCTTGTATGTATATTAAATAAAATTTTTTTCTATAGAAATCGTGATATCAAATTTTAGCAGCCTGCGATTTGATGACGAATCTAATAATGAATCCTGACAATGAATCCAACAACGAACCCAGTAATGGATTTTCAATCACTTGCTAAAGGAGAGGAACGTGAACTGAATAAACTTGACCATTACCTTGAATTATCGCAAAAGTTCCAATAATCTTTTAGAGAGGTGGAGTGTGAATAAATCTGATATTTCCTAAATTAGCAAAACTTGACAGTACCTTTTACAGACTTGAACTGACCCAACAAATTTGGTTGAATCCAGAAATAATTAATTATCTTGTATTTTTTAAAGCGTAACATTTCTAGATTCAATATTTTCCCTCCCTTGAGTAGATAATATAGAAACGAGAAATAAAAATAAATATACATTAAAAATAACTTTATTATGGTTATATCAATTATAATCTATTCGATTAATTACAGCTATTTTCTTGTTACCCATTTGATAACACTGCTTCTATATAATGGAAAATAACAATGCGTATACACTATACTAATATACTTTATCAGAAGAAAGAAACCAATATTGCAATTCTTATTATTGGTGTAATTATTCCACGAGACCATCTAACAATGATAAATGTATCTATTTAACATAAATATCAAGGCATAAATTAACGTACAATCCAAAAATTAAACCATCATAAGGAAAATAACTTAGTGCATAAACTTATAAAATCAACCTAAAAATGTGTTGCTCGTAAAATTGAACTCAATACACACAAGTATATTATGCACATATATTTCTATGAAAATAAAGTGGATGATTCAAACCCACAAAAGCTATTGCATTTACATAATTGAATTAAAAAGCATAAATGATCTCTATATTGTTGGAATAGAGCCGATCGCTGTGAATCTATTAAAAAAATTGGTTTTATGTAAAGTCATGCGAAAGGTAATTGATTTTAGGAACTTTCAAAAATATATACGCAAACGAAACTGTCTCAGCTACAAAATAAATAAGAGTTAGAAATTGTTAAAAATTTAGGCATAGGCTTAATTGATATACCGCAGCCGTATTGACTATGTTATATATGCTTTATTACATTTTTTTCTACTTCTGAATATAAAATTTTTATTATGCTTTTTCACGTATCTTCGGATATTAAAATATTACTACAAGTAATATCTCATATTTCTGTTCGTAACACTTTGCATAACGATAAAAGAATGATTAATAATGCATACATTAGTTTAGATATTATTTATGAGATTGAAAATCTGCTTTTTTAAAATATAATATGGTTGCATTGCTGATGTAATATGAAGATTCAATAACCCATTGTAGAGATTGAATCGAGGTCGGGTATAAACGGATCAAACCGGATGGCTTAGATATCCAGGTTGTGATCATGACCACCCGGATGAATGTGAACTGGTCAATCCGCGGGTCAACCTGTCGGTTAACTCGTTGGTTAGTTCATTATCAAAAAAACGTATCACATAGATTCTTGATTTTTTGCTTAGAAAATTATCGTTAAATTTAAATTTATGGTTTGCGTGTAAATGCAAAACCTTTGGCAGCCATTTGTATATTCTGTGGAGAAAAGTTTGAAGCGGGAGTCATCGATGTAAATAATAGGTGATAAAAAAAAATGTCGTCTCTTTCACCCGTACATCTCACGGGTATTTCAAACAACGCCTCACAAAATTTCGAAACTCAA